AAAGACCCGAATTGGAATGACTTGCAGCTGCATCAAAAAGCACACAAATCAATCCAACTCGGAACTTGAGCAAAACACCTTCAGACTCCAGCAATAGGTAGAAAATTTTTAACTCCCGCCCACCCGCTGTACGACTCCTAACCGTGAACTCGTGTTGTTTGGCTTCTTGTTGAGGTGTAGGCGGTGGACGTTTGGTAGCCGGTACGACAGCCAACTTATCAGAGATCACACACTGTTGCTCTCCATTCTCCAAATCCATTGGGTACTCGTCAGTCTCATCTTGTTCAGGAAGAAGAGCATCAGAATCACTCCCCATGCTCGCTTCCGGCAACTGAAGGAGCAAGCCGTGGCTAGTGCTGTCGGCAGAGACACTACGGCCAAGATTGCCACTGTGTGGGTCCAATAAAGTTTGGTCCCAGTCAAGGTTGGTGACGAGTGTGGCATTACCAATGCCAGTGTCATTCAGATCCATAGCAGTGTCGAAATCATCTAGTTGGTCGAGAGTCTCATCTTCAGAGGCTTCATTCAGAGTTGAAATAGTTTTACTACTCTTTAGGATGCCTACTCTCTCGAATGGTCTCTCACCTTTGCCCTGTTTGTCCAGCCTGTCAATGTTGGGATCCAATAGAGTTTGCTCTCATTCAAGGTTGGAGTCGAATATGACATCATTTGCAATGTCACGCTTGTTCAGTGTCGGTCTACTCATGGTGTTTTGTGCGCCAACAAGTTGTGTGGCACGACTACCATTGAGTATATTGACACCGTCAGACATGCGAATACTAGGTTTTAGAGCGGAGGAAACAATAGTAGTAGGACTAGTAGTGTCACTATACTGATTACTGATCACGTCTACTGTAGCTTGGCGGTCTGATTTGTCGCTCATTGGCCGTTGTAGCTCCCCATGTTTGGGTGCAAATTTGTTGCGTACGGTGGCTAGATGGCTGTCTGGGTTCGTCTCCATCTGTGTTGGAAGGAGAGCATCAGGGGACAAGTCAATAGATTTGCGATGATCAGGCTTGGAGACAAGAGGTTGTGGTAAAGATTAATTATGAAAAACTATAAAGTCACCACTACATTGATAGTTTAGGAATGCCTGCACATCCATGTTCATGCAATTGATCGGAGTGATCGGATCGCGATGAACGGTTTCACGGAGGTAAGCATTTCCAAGTAAAGCCCTAGAAGTACCACGATGGGGCCGCTCAAGCTGTACAAGCTCAGTTCGGCCAGTATCCGCCCCATGTTCGTTGATGATAGGTGCATCATATTTCAGTTCACGGACTTCATCCTCAGAGGAGAGGAGATCCATGAGACAATTGCTACCATCACAACGAAGAGCAAGCATGAATGGACTGTCGAGAGACGCTTGAAAGAGGGTCGTGACAGCAAACTTTAAGCTTGCAAAAGTATCACCAGGTTGTGCGGTAGCATTGGCAGGCGTACCAACAGTGGTGCCAACAGTTGGAGTTGCAGGGCTGACAGGTTGGTTGGCAGCACCAGCAGTAGGAGCGGGAGTGGAGTTCGTACCGCTCTGATTAGTTGACATGTCTAGTTTGTTGTTGCGGTGGAAAAATAGGGTAAGAGTCCTCTCACAACGGCAAAGACTCCTCCAGGGACGATGCCTGTCCAAAAACTCTTAAAATCAAAAGGTCGGTCGAGTGGTTCCCTAAAAAGAAGGGCTCGAGTGATTGACGCTCCGTACTAGTGGATACCCTACGGTCACACTAGTCCCAAGGATTGCTGTGAGGCTTTCCTGGTTTGCTTGAACCTCAGTGCAGGTCAGGACAGAAGTGAAGGTCCTGAAAAAATTGGAACAAGGAGTCGTCCGTGTTCTATGGACTTCTAATCTCCCTTGACCTTTGTAGATCCGGTTATCCCTGTATGCAACAGCCAGCAAAGTGAAAATGACCAAACCGAAGTTGGTCGATTGCAGGTGTGAATACGGAGACTGGTCTTCTGAGTCTGTAAGAGACTGACTGCAGAAGACTACAAGAGGCTGGATGGAACCCCTTGACCTTTACGGGTATAGGCGTCCCGGTGCTCCAACGATCAACAAGTGCCCGATTGAAAAACTGGCTGGTTGTCAAGTGGAAAAAGAGAATGCAGCACGCCAAAAGTCGTTGTGCACGCAATGACGATCAACTCCGGGGGTGCTAGGAAGGACTGCGGGAAACTGTACTCATGAGCGTACAGAATCCAGAACAAGTTTCAGTCGATTAAAATAAATCGATCTGTGTGCCGCTGCCTGCTTTTAGGGACGAGAACCACCTCGTTTAATTGCAGTACAGCCGGGCAATCCACCACAAATTGTCTTTGTGGTAGATTTCTCGACACCGGAAGCAAAAGACAACAAGTGGGGGAAGCACGTGTTCGGCGGATGCCCAGCGCTTGACTCCTTTTAGTTTCCAATAGGGCTGGAAAACCAAAATATAGACATATAAATGTAATCGTTACTGTATTACAATGTATTTGACTTACAAAGTAGTATGTATAAATGATGATAGTGTAAATATGTTGTATTCTTAAAAAGAGTGTTACCATCGTCAGATTGACGTGCTTCCCTGGAGGCCGATTTGTCCTTACTACTTACGGACTCTAGCAATCGTACACGTGCACGACAGCATGGTCGATCTCATATTCAATAGCACAGTCACCTTTATTTGGTCCCCTCGAATTGGGTTCCAACGATGGGATCCAGTTCGACACTGTGATTAGTACGTCGACTCTCCATATAGTCGTCCCCTTCTGCATTCATAACCACACTCTCGTTGTCACAAAACATGTGTGTTGGTTCATCTTCCAAAGGTATTCCAAACATCATCAATTTGGATCTCAAATACGTAACGGCTTCACCCATACAGTACTCCTACTCTTCGTCCTCTCGTTTTGGAATCGTTGTGTGACATTTCCTCTTTCGCGTCTCGATAGTATGCTTGGAAATCCTCTTGTGAACTAAGTTCGGCACCCTCCAAACATAGTACATATCCTCAATGCTTGCTCCCTGTGTCCTTCTCTTGGGGCCGCTTGATACTGGCTCAACGTTGCCCATCGTAACATCCCAATCAACTCTTGAAAGTAGGTATGGTTCTTTTGCCCTAATTCACTTGATCCGTCCATCTCTGGTTTGTAAGTACTGATCATTGACTTGATCCGTCCATCTCCGGTTCGTAAACACTGGTCATTGGCGTCAGTGCATTCTTTAGTAGATTGCATTCTTGTCTTTCAACGTTTCTTTAACACTCTTGACGGCTGCCACGACATAGTCATAACTAGACATTGTCCACATATCGAATCCGTCCAAAGTCTTGTTTCGTAATCTGGCTCCTAGATAGCTCTCTGGTGGTTCAATCTTCTCTTTCTTTAATTTGAACGCCCTTTCAATTCCTTCCATCACTTCCTTGGCTTTCATTGACATACAGATGATGTCATCTAAGTAACAAAGGATATATTCATAACATTCCTCCCCATCAGGCTTAGTAGTAGTTGCCTTCATCCAAACGTCAGGATTGGCACAATGCCCTTCTTACAATGAAGACTTTGCCTTCTTCGTCCCCAAATTCAGGTCCTACTATACCATGTAGTACTTCTCGATTGCTCGTTCAGTGAGGGAAGCGTTCTGGATATCTGTACATTGCAAGTCCACTCTGTTTAGTGTTGCCATCACTACTAGTATCGTTCTTCATTTCCATTTGAGTCGACGAGTCCTGCCATAACGTGTCCCCATTCTCTTTGTCAATTTCGATTGCTTCTTCGATCGATTTTAGGGATTCGTATCCCGTACTTGTGTGTACGTTCCCGGTACCATCGCAGGTACTTCAATTTGACTTTGCCAAGGAATCGCGCGCGTTTCCGAGCAACATGTGTGCAAAAGCAGGTTCGTCTTGGATGCCCTTGCCTATCGCATAGTCCGTCAGGCCTCTTCTTAAACCAATTTCCATGTTGACGTAGTTTTGTGCGTTGATGTTGTTAGCTTCCGCAGTCCCCTGGAGCAGTCATGCCATCATCGACCCTGGAGCATGTCATCATCAACGTCCTCAGCCTCAATCAACTTGTTGAACAAGCTGCATTTGAATTCTGTGTCTTCCAAGTGGAGATCAAACATTTGAGTTCTCTGTCTTCCAAGTGGAGATCAAATATCAATTGTGGCGATATCTCATTCTCCCCCCAACTGATGTCTCCTGTTTTCGTATCAAGCATCTTGGATACATCAGTTTTTCATCGCGCCATCTGCTCTTTGACAACGTCCGTTTGCTTTTCGCTTTCTGTGATGTTTTGAACGGTGTCAGTAGAGGTTGGGCGGCAACTCTTTGGTAATATCCAATACGTCATTATTGGACCCGTTCTGTGTGACACTCCCAACCGTCGACCAATCTCATTCGTTGACAAGGCACCATCTGTGCGATAGTATACCCATCCGTATATTGCAAAGTTCATGTACTTCGTTATGTCTGGTGTGATGTCAGTGATTATTTCTAATGGTACTCGACAAGCTTCCATTCGTTATGTCTCGTGTGATGTCAGTGATTATTTCTAATGGTACTCGACAAGCTTCCATATCATCATTGCAACCAGTATTATTCTCCATGTGATGTCATTGATAACTGGAGCAAAGTGTTCCGTGAAATCGAGTATCTGCATGCAACCATCAGTCTTGCTCGGAACGCCCCATTTCTCTTGATAATCTTCTGGGTGATTCCATGCTTCTTGGAAGTTCTTTGGATCTTCGTTCTCCGCCATATTTTCCATCATATTTTCTGTCACTTGTAATGCGAGATCTGGCCACTGTAAATCTCGATTCATCATCATGTTTGCAACATCGTTTTTGGCATTATTGTTGAATAGTGGTCCATGTCGACCATCTGAGGAATCAATCTCTTCTTCTTCTGCTGGTGCTCCTCTTGTTCGAACATGAGTCGCTGTCTCCCTTCCTGATTCGGAATTTGCAGTTGCTAATCTTTTCAAGTCCGAAGTGTGGGCTGCGTCCCATGCCACGTCTGTAGGTCTCTCTGCCATCTAGTAGTCGGTGCTGCGGTTGGTGCCGCCAGTGTTGCCGTTGTGTGCGTATGTGGTGTTGTGTTGCCGTTGTGTGCGTATGTGTTGTTGTTGCCGAATGGAGTTGTATTGCTGGTGCTGGTGGTGCTTTGATTCCAATAGTATCTCTTGTGTCAATTGTAATGTTTTGGTCGTTCAGTGGATACAAAAGTTGGTCTCACTGGTACATCCGCGAATCGTTCGTTCCTTTGCAAGATCCTCTCTCCATCAGCCACATTGCCTATCTCCATCAACCATTGCCGCTCGCACCGTGCGCCATTCATTCATTCCTTTCATGATAGGATCCAATTGCTTCAATTTGGTTTCATTGGATCTTGGGTCATCTACTGGATCTTCGTGAGCCACTCTGAGATTTTTCTAGTTGATCATTGCTTGGATTCCATGGCACTTTGCTGCTCATATCGATTGAAGGCATATCGCGAGTCAATCAATCTCTTCCGCTTGACTGTTGGTTGGCTGCGTCCGGCCATTATGGAAGCTCCAGCAGTTCCGATAGTCACTTGTGATATCCGTGTAGCTGCTGCTTCTTCAGCAGGAACGTCGCTGGATCATAGTGATGCTACTTCTGCTCGTAGTTCAGACAGTTGCGTTTGCGTAGTCTGTCTCGTTTGTCTTGTCGGCAATCATGACTTGTTTGGTATGCACTTTTTTCATTTGACATACGTCCCTTCTATTGGTCGGTCATTATCCGTAGCTGACCCGGAGTGGAGTAGTGACTTGGGTGGTACCAGAGCTTGTTCCCATTGCTCAGGGTGATCTCTTCTTTGTCTTGGTACCTGGTCTTTTTCCTCCTCTGTTTTGGCTCCTGCTCCCGTCTTTGTTGTGTTGATTGTGCATAAGCTGACTTTTGTGGCAATTGCATATTGTTGTTCATATTGCTCATGCTGCTATTCATATTGCTCATCCAGTTGTTCATATTGGTGCTCATGCTGCTTCAGCTAGCCTCGCCCAAGTGTCGTCCCCTATCGGTTGCGTTGCTAATTCCTTGAGGGAACTTTTCTCTTACTGCAGTTCGGTAGACTCGTAATGCCGTTGTGACTGTCATTACCATCATCTGTTTGCCAATTTCCGTATCAATCACTGCGTTGTTCAGTCGTAGGAATGAGGCGGTAACCTTGGTCTCTAGTTTCATTGCATATTGTCATCGCGTCTGAATGGACTTCTCTCACCTCTGAATGGACTTCTCTCCCCTCATATTTGTCGTATGCTGCGCATGATTTTGTGAGCAGCCATACGTTCAAATATGGACCAGTTCATTGTACCATATTCTTGTAGTCTTTTCGCTGATGGTGTGTTGTATTATCCTAGGGGTCCGTCACCTTCGTAGTAGGTGCGTAGTGCGATGAATGCTTCCCTTCCGTTGCCTTTGACGTCAATGGCTTGTGTTTACTTCGAGTGTCGCTTGGCTTCGGTATTCCCCACAATAAACTTTCTCAGGAGGACTAACACTTTGGTGTCGTCCATGGGAAATGTTTCTCCATTGAGTGAGCGGTGTAGGAAGGGAATGTGCCTACATCAATATCACACTTCATACATATTGTTCGTTCGCATATTTCTTTCATTCATAACAGTTTTCGTTGGTGATGTTCAGCACGATTCATGACAGTTTTCGTTGGTGTTGCTCAGCACCTTTCATAACAGTTTTTGTTGGTGATGTTCAGCACGATTCGTAACAGTTTTTGTTGGTGATGTTCAGCATGATTTTCGTTGGTGTTGCTCAGCACTTTGTAACAGTTTTCATTGATGTTGTTCAGCACCATTCATTCATAACAGTTTCGTTGGTGTTGCTGAGCACCATTCATCATAATGTTCACAACATTTGATGTTATTTCGCATTTACAATTATGTTCATCAATACGTTCATAACGTTTGATGGCATTACATGTCAAGACGTTTCAATACATTTCATTTTCCTTTCGTTTGTCGGATAACTTTTGACAGTTATTGCTGGATCTGATAAACCATATAAATGTAATCGTTACTGTATTACAATGTATTTGACTTACAAAGTAGTATGTATAAATGATGATAGTGTAAATATGTTGTATTCTTAAAAAGAGTGTTACCATCGTCAGATCGACGTGCTTCCCTGGAGGCCGATTTGTCCTTACTACTTACGGACTCTAGCAATCGTACACGTGCACGACAGCATGGTCGATCTCATATTCAATAGCACAGTCACCTTTATTTGTAGAACCACCGAAATAAAAATAGAATCCAATACCCTTGTGCCGTTGGGTCTTCGCGTAGTCGTCGACAGTGATGGGGATGGAGGCCCAATTAAAGTTCAGTCGACTTTGAAACGCGATGAAACCTTTGAGATTGATAAACCAGAGGAAGGTCTTCAACTGTAGGTGTCGGAAAGGCCTGGGCAAGATTGCAAGTGTGGGTGTTGCAATGGGCCGAAATGCCAATGGATTGGCCGAGACTTGTGAAATTGCTTCTGAGGGAAGCAGAGGACGTTTTTCAAGCAAGACTTCCAGGTTTCGCAAAATGTTGATGCGAAAGTTGTGCGAAAGATAGCGTGCGTACGTCGTAAGGTGCAATAGGGGGGAAGGCAACCCTCTCCCCGTTACACAGAAGGGGAGTTTACAAATCAAGCAAGCAATCATCAGCATCACTTCAGCATCTCCTCGTAGTAGGAGTATACATAGTAGGAGTATGCATCTCGTTTCGTAAGCCATTCGTATTGGCTTGCAATGTGTTAGCAATGCTTTTTGGTAACCTGTAGTATCATGATGTGAGTTTGCGATAAAAGAAAATCTTTTAAATCGTGTTGGTGAATTGGTGAAACGCTTTGTTTTTAAAAAATATATATTGTTTAATGGTGTGATTCGTGAAACGCTTTGTATTTTTATACATTGTTTGATGGTGCGTTTCGTGAAATTCACTGTATTTTGTTTTTGTAACCAACCAATAGAATCGCAGCTTAGCTACACAAATCGCGTTTTCGACTGTGATATATATTTTTATTTAGAAATTCATGGCACGGAAGCATTTTCAAAGGAAAATCTAGAGCACATATAGATTGTTAGTATAAGATTCCTATCTACCTTTTGTATTGTTCCTATTGGCACTCCAAGAAGAAAAGAAGGTTGCTTTCTGGGGCTTTGCTTCATCTGCTGGATTCTTGTTAGAATGCACTCTTGTCAGATACTCTTGACGCTCAATCAGTGAAATCTGCGCAACCTCTCTGGCAGCCGTTTGGCTTGTGGTGTTCTTTGCTAATAATGTTTTGTACTTATGCACCCTTCCTGCCATCGCTGACACTGTCTTTGTTGCTCTAACAAGTCTTTTGCTTTTTGTTGCAGTACCAATATCAGAGCCTTCAAACTCATACAACTTATTGAAAGATGACAATTCAATATCATAAGCCAATTGTTTTACAACAACCTCTGACAATCCCACTGTTGCAAGCTCAGCCCGTTGATCTTCAGTGATTACATAGTCTGCCAGTTCAAGGCAGTATCGAAGTTTAGACTTTTCCTTTTTAGGTATCACGTCGTCATCACTGATGTTTGAACTGTGCAATTGCCTAGTATTCAGCTTTTGGAGAGTGTGCAAACTTTCGATGGCATGACATAAACGCAATCCCTTCAAACTGGCTTTAGTAGTCACCTCACTGCTAGTTGGTTGAGCCAAAGCATCAAAAAGGGGATGATCATTGTTGGTTTTTGGCGAATAGTCTTTCTCTTGCTCCATGTCCTCCATGTCATCAACTCCTTGACTTGGCATTGGTAAAGGAGATGGCAATTCTATGCCAAATTTCAGTTGTTTGGCTACTGGTTCATCATCATCATCATCAAAAGTATCCATTCTCCGTTTCACTGGATCCGGTGTTTTGATGCAGGAGAGTTTCACGTTTGCGTTTGTGAGCCGCTGGTTTGTGATCCTTAATTTTTCCTTGATCTTGGCAAGTTCTTCTTGATAGAGTGACACTGCAGCTGTCTTCATTGCAAGCTCTTTTGCCACAGAGCAAAGTTCTTTAACAAGCAAATCATTGGATGTTTTCAATCCAAGTACAACTGGCTTCAACTCGTCCATGGATTTAGCAAGAAAGCTAATCTCAGCTTTGCAACCATTTTCTTGGAGTGGGTGATGCCTTCGTTGGCCCCAAGGCTCCCTGTCGTGGTGGAAGCAAAAAATGGATGTGACCGAAGAATTCTTGTCAACGTGGTATGGTCGGACCAATAGCAGACGATTCTTCAGAAAAGGGGGTCAGTACAACCACGGTAGCTTGCACATGGTACGATCTATCTTTCGCGAGGGTTCCAAAAGTTGGGGAAAAGAGAGGCAGTTTCTATGGTGCCTGCGGCGCCAAGTTTCGCAAAATTTGCGAAACCTCGCGCTACGCGCGAGACCTGGAATTTTTTCTATGGTGCCTGCGGCGCCAAGTTTCGCAAAATTTGCGAAACCTCGCGCTACGCGCGAAACCTGGAATTTTTTCTGTGGGAAAAACGGCGGCAGTCAGCTGATGGTGTGTAAGCATATAAATATTATCGTCACTGCGTTACGATGTTGTTGTCTTACGAAGTAGTAGCTATGATATACGGTAGACAGTATTGTAATCAGACGTATTCTTAAAAAGAGTGTTACCATCGTCAGATTGACGTGCTTCCCTGGAGGCCGATTTGTCCTTACTACTTACGGACTCTAGCGATCGTACACGTGCACAATAGCATGGTCGATCTCATATTCAATAGCACGGTCACCTTTATTTGGTCCCCTCGAATTGGGTTCCAACGATGGGATCCAGTTCGACACTGTGATTAGTATGTCCACTCTCCATATAGTCGTCCCCT